TTGGGAGAAAGGAAGAGGGAGGGAGAAAGGGGCAGGAGCCGTGAGTCACTTTGAGAACTGGTCGCCTTTCCCATCTTTGCAGTTTCAGGCTTGTTCCGCGGCTATTTTGAGCTGAAGGTGCTCAGAGGGGAGAAAGGGCTGGTGCTGAAATGCTTAAGGGAGCATTTAAGACGAAAGCCTTCAATGAATGAAGAAGGAATGGGCGTGGAGGTGGAAAAAAAGTTGGAAAATGGATTCGCTGACAAGTAAGGATAATAAATGAGAGGCGCTTTCAGATAGATATCTCAGTCGTGAAATTGCACCCAGCTGGTTGTGTAAGCAAACAAATAGTTTCATGTTAGGGACTCTCGACTTGTGGCTTGATGAATAGAACACGACAGAGGTAAATGGCTCTTTAACTCATTTAGGAATAAAACTCCTTGGCTTCCTAAGTAAGAGACCTTGCGACGCCGTGGATCCCGAACAAGTACTTTAACAAGAGTTTTATTAGTTTACACTTTTGCTCTCGGATCTCCTCCCTTGTTCACTTTCTTCCTCACACTTCTGTCCTCTCCCTTTTTTTTTTTCCTTTAGTATATTTTACTCTTTTTCTTTCTCTTCTCCCTTCCCTTCTTCTCGCTCTCTCTTTCTCCTTTTTATTTATTTTTTCTTTTTCTTTTTTTTTTTTAATTTTTTTTCTCCTCAAAATCGCCTTGTAAGAGAATTTCCTCTCCCCCTCCCTCCCGTTACCGTCGCTTGGAAACCTGGCAGGTTTGCAGGGTACCCGACCACATCGGGTCTATCCACGGCACCCGAGAGTAGTGGCTTTTGAAATGTGTCATTCTTACTGGACTCCAGAATCACTGCAGAACACTCATGCCCAGTCTCTCTGACCCGCTAGGGATTAAAAAGGGAAGAATGTTTAAAAAAATAAAAAATTCTCACGTCGAAGTCAATGACTGTGAAGCCAAGTAGAAAGGGAATTTTTTAAACAAATATATAAACACATTTCATGGAGGTCACACGGCTTCTGAAATTAGTTCCAAATATGTAAAAGAAATGGGAAGAAAAGCAGGGAAGGGCGAGGGGACCTATTCCTGCCTCTCTCAGTAAAGCAGGGAGCAGAAAAGACAGAGATGTGAGTCAAAAAAAAAAAAAAAAAAAGAGGAAAAGGAAAGAAAAAACCCAACTCGCTATTTCAAGACTTATAAACTAGCGCTTTGAGTAGTCAAAATGTCCCATGAAACCGGAGGAAGCATGTCGACAGTGTTTGTAATAGCCGTGCACACGCGTTCGCGGACACGGCCTGTGAATGGCTGCGCGCCGGGATACGACCGGAGGGGGCGGCTGCAGCAATCCTTGACACCCCCGTTCAGTCCTCCGTCCCTCTGTCCATCCGTTGGAAGGTCATCCAGGCCGGCCGGTGCCACCGTCCCTGCAACCCTGCCTGAGCATCCCTCGGCGGCGGTTCACATCTGCGCTCTGATAGGAAGGGGATGCCTGGCTGCCATACCGCCCGAGTAATGAGGAAAAAAAAAAAAACAAAAAAAAACAAAACAAAAAAACCCCAAACTCAAACCCTAAACTAACAATAACAAAAAATCACACAGACACAAAAATAAAACCCCAAACCAACCAACCATCCAAAACCTCCGATCCCCCCCAAACACCACTACACAAAAAAAAGAACCCAAACAAAGAAAAAATCCCCCCCCAAACAAAACAACCCCAAAACCCTCAAACACACACACACACACCGACAAACATAAGGTCCTATCAAGGCCTTTCCGTCAGATAAAAGACTTTTATCTTTTGTGTATGTAGCCAACCAGGTTCCTGCTAGTGAATCTAGGCAGTATTAACTTTTTCTTGTATTACTTCTGCTGCCACTTGCAGTGACCCCTAGCCAGATTCTTCTGTGGGAGACCCTCCATGTACCCCGGCAGGGAAACAGCTTTTTACGTCTGGATCCGCCGTTTTTGCTGGTGGCCATGAGACAGGTCACTCGTGATGGAATCTCATCCCCACTCTTCCTCCCCAGTTCTACCTAATTTCCAGGGATACTGGGAAAATGGGAGTTATCCTTTACCGCCAGTCCTGAAGGGGGCTCATCGCCCTCTCTCCTGCAGGTGAGGGGGGTGAATGGAAGCCGAGCCACCCAAAAGGTGCCCCCGGGGGCGACGGCGTGTCGAGAAGCGCTGGGAAAGGGGAAGCAGCAGCCCCTGACGTTTACGGGCGGTCGGAGGAGGTGCAGGCGCGGGCATAGACGCACACATACACACACGACCCCTGCCCTGGCGCTGCCCCCGCCACCGCCCGCAAACCCCCTCCTCCTCAGCTTGGGTTCAACCTACCACTTAGCAGCATTTCCAAATATTTATTCGATTAAATGTATAGAAAAGGCCTAATTGGGCGGTGGGAGGAGGCAAGCTAGTTAGCGAGGTGCTAAGAGGAGTGGGAGGGGGGGCTTTGTATCTGCCGTGCCCTCAGCGGGTCCCCTGCATGGGGGTGGAGTGGGAGGGTCGTCCCTCTCCCACATCCCACCCACCCCTGCTTCCCCCTCCCACCCTCCCTTAGCCTTTGAAGTGCTGCCACAGCTGTTAGTGAGCACGGAAAGGCCGCGGAGCCCTGCGCGGCAGGGAGGATGGAAAAATGCAGGGATGAGGAGGATGCCCTACCGACTGCGTCTCCTGAAGATCCTGGGGGGCCGAGGAGCCCCCGGGAACAGCGCCCCGGCCCCCGGCAACAACAAGGCAGGAGAAATGTAGATGGAGTTCGTTTTAGAGCAATGTATTGTAGGTTATGAACAAGTCAGCAAAAACTTGAGGGACCCCGGCCCCTCGCCACACTCACATCTTTTTTTTTTTTTTTTTTTTTTCAGCAAATAGCACTCCATGACGCCATCATACAGTATTTTTAGCCGCCATATGAATGCCCGAAAGGCTGCAGCGTGGCAAAGGAAAACATCCACTGACACAGTGCAGACTGTGTAGTTAACACTTCAGAACACGATACTGTCTTATAAGCAAAGTTTAATAAGGGATTGAAACACTTCTTTCTAGGCACATACATGGAAATAAGTGCATCTCGTACCTGCAAGTTTCTTGGCAATCTGTGGGTTATTATTATTATTCATAAATATGAAAATTAATTGAAAAATACCTATGAAAAAGTTTATCTGTTTTCATCAGTGGGATAACGCTGTAATGAATATATTTACATCTCATTGGAAGAAATCGAGACCTGTTTTTCTACTCCGATATCCCCATGTGTTTTGCTTATTTTGGGGGGGTGGGGTGTTTCTTGCTTGTTTCTGTTATTATTTTTGGGTTTGGATTTTTTTGTTCTGTGTGGGGTTTTTTTAATTTTTTGTTTGTGTTTTTAACTGCTAATCCAACTGTGTCCCAAGTCACCCATCCCACCAAAAAGCAATGTTGAAGAGCTGCTTTCAGCACCTCCCCGGTCTAAGCATGCCCGCTCACTCCCCGTTGAGAGCTCAGAGGGGTTGCTGGATCCCCTCTGCCCGTGGAAGGGCCAGAAACAAAGCTCTTGCCCATGCCACGTCCGTGTGAGTGGGAAAAGGGAGGATGTCTGTTTGTCTAATTCCCATTCTTGTGTGCTCAGGTCTGGAATCATCCGAGTCCCCCCACTGCCAGCATCTATGAATACAGGCCACTTCTCCATCCTGAATGGGATGATCCCCCCATAGAGGATCTGCTCACAATGTTGATTATCCAGCTATAAGTGCCTACTGTATGGAGCTGCTATAGCCTCGGATCTGCTGCGCCTAGAATATTAAAAACCCCAAGCGAGTTGGATTGAAGGATCTTGTTAATGCAAAAAAAAAAAAAAAGACAGAGAGAGAAAGAAAAAGCAAAAAAAGGAGGGGGGGGAGAGAGGAAGAGAGAGAAAGAGAGAGAAGGAGAGTATATAGGACAGAAAATTAAAATGAAAAACTTGCCCATGTTTCCATAAACTGAAAAATCTGCCTCATCCAGGCTTGTTTAGAGGGTATGGGAGGTATCTGTGTGAGGGGGGACAATGCTATTTTTAAAGATCCAGCTTTATTAATACGTTAAGAAAGAGCTCCCTTGGTAGTATGTGTTCTCACAGCTCTGTCTCAGACCCTATAAAACATTAATGCACTGAAAGCTGTTACAGAGATCTGCACCACCAGCTAGAAGCCTTTACGTTCAAAGGACTTCCATTACAAAAACGATTTTTAATTTTCTTTGAAGAAAAGGACAAGCTGAAATAAAGAGAGGCTTTTGGCACAGAGCTCGGGCCCCTGTGATAGGTGGCCATAGTGTGGGGGTTCACAGCCTGTGTTTTTTTGCTTGACCATGGCACATAAGCACATATGAAATGCACTGGCTCACCACCCAATGAGCAAGCATCTAGTTGGATTTCTATATTAATGGACTGGGAATATCGTCCACACATAGTGACTAGAGTTAGGAGAAATAGCAAGAGAGATGTTTTGGCTGACAGCAAGCACAAGGTGTGCACACCGGAGCACACAGAGGGGTCTGTGAGTCCTTGGGGTGGAAAAGAAGAGAAAAAAAGCAAAAAACCCCAACCCCACCCCGAGCTCCCAGAAGCAGGAAGCCACCATATCTGGAACAAACAAGACCCATGGCTACAGTATGCCTCCTGCTGCATGGGTAGAGGTGGTGGCATGTGGTGACTGCAGTCCATGCCCATGGTTTCTGAGAGCAAAAAACAAGGTGTGAACTCAGCAGAAAATCCAGCTGATGGGAAAAGATATTTCAAAAAAAGGGTAGGCCATCAGCCTTGGTAGGGAGTCTGCGGTGTAGTCTCAGCGAGGCAAGGTCACCTAAGGCATCACACTGCACCTCCCACTCCCTCTTCCTAGACCTTGACAGCTCAGCCCTAAGCTTAAGCCCAGCCAAGTCTGTTTTGGAGCATCATGTAGTTTACACAACTTGGCTAGATCTCACAAGTATTTTTTAAGTTCTCTTTTTTAGCACCAGTAGAGAGTTAAAAATCCAGGTGAGATCTTTTGTTGTTATTGTTTGGTTTGTGGTTTGTTTTTTTTTGTTGGGTTTTTTTTTTTTTTGGTGAATTGTTGGCATGTTTCAAACAACAAGACTCATGGTTTGTGGGGTGATAAGTAGGGGGGAGTTTGCTAAATTCTTTTATTTTTTGTTTAAATTCTCACTTCAATTTTAATTCTTGAAGAACAATTTTGACAACATATATCGCACTCATTATAAGAAGCAAAGGGTTATATCAAAAAATTATTAGTATAGAATCACAGGAAACCTGGTTTGGAACCAGAAAAAAATACAAAACAGATATAGATACATAGACACAGGACAATTTTTTTATAATTATTTGGAAAATGTTATTTTCCCCTAATTCTCCTTTCTTTTTTTTCTTTATGCGCATATGATGTTTTAACTTTTACCAAAAATGAAAATAAAGACTAATATATTACAAAATGAGTAACAATGTTCGTGGTAAGTGTTTGCGCGTAGAATTTTTTTCTTTGTTTACTTCTTTTGGGTTTTTTTTTTTCATTCTACACAAGGTTCAGTTCAGTTTCAATGATTTTTTGTTTTGTTGGTTTACTGTACAGCATATATCAGCAACAGTCCACAATAAATCCTGGAAGATCCAGTATCCCCTTCAGGTTTGATTAATATCCCCTCAATACTCATTTTTTTTTTAATTTTTCTTTTTTTTTGTCTCCTTTATTAATATTATTTATTTCTTTTTTCCTCCTCTCAAAAAAAAAATAGGCCAAATGAAAAAAAAAAAATGAAAAAGCGAAACACCACAACCTCCACGGACGAGAGGTCCGTTCTTCTCCCCTACACGGCCACATCTCTGCTCTCACTTGGCCCTTTCTTTTGTTCAGTGTCCACCTCCCGGGCCCCCCCCCGCACCCCGACTGCCCCTCGGTGCGAGCGCTCCCGTCTCCGCCGCTCCGCCGCCTCTCTGCCGGGGATGCGGAATGGGCTCTAGGAGCACTGGATGGACATGTAAGGCCAGTTGAAGCTGCTCCCAGACAGTAGCATATCCCTGATGAGGGTTTCGATGGGGGTTTTACCTACCAAGCGGACGAAGAAGAGCTGCTCGATGACGGAGGAGGAGACGGTGCGCAGGGAGGGCAGCCGCAGCAGCAGCTTCCCGAAGCGGCTGGGCTGGTTGGGGTACTGGCTCCGCACGTACTCCTCTAGCGCGCACTGTGACTTCTCCTGAAGGCTCTCGATATGCGCAGCATCCGACAGGCCACAGGCGTCTGCCCACCGCACCGCGCCCGCGGAGGCAGCCGCAGAACGGCGGCAGGCGGGGGGAAAGTGGAGGGAGGAGGTGGAGGAGGAGGAGGAGGAAGCGGGGGGGAGATGGTTAGTGACTGGGAAGCACACAGGGAAACGCCGCTAGGATGGGGGGCACGGCAAAGGCGCACCCCCCCATCCCATCCCACCCCACACTAGCCCACCCCCTCTCATCCCTCCCCAACCCATCCCGTGCACCGCTGCTGAATAAATAACGCGACCTCTCTGTGCCTCTTCACCGCCGTGGGTATTTTGACCCAGGATGCGGTGGGGTGCTCACACCCCGCTCGTCCCAGCCACACACATACAGCCCCCCATGCTTTCTTTCCATATCCCCCTCTATGGACACTCTGTGCTGGTGAGCGTGATTCCCACTCCAGGGAGCCCACCACCAGGATGCTGGAAACTCGGACCAGCCCCTGTTAAATAACACTGAGTGGAGGAAAAACAGGGGTATTGGGAAAAATAATAATAATAATATTAATAATAGTATGATTATAAGCAGAGGTGGGCACAAGCAGAGAGAGACAGAGGGAGTTTGTTGACATGGTTGCATATCACAGGGAGGCAGCGGCTGGGACCTGCAGTGACTGGCGGGGAGCCGGCCGGGGGACGCCGGGGTGCAAGGGGGACCTCTCTGTCCCTGCCATGCTGCCAGGGATCACAAATTGGCCAAACGTTTGTGGGTTGTGTGATAAATCTGGTGGAAATCCAGATAAATCTGGTGGCTGGGTGAGTCCTAGCTTGCACACAGCAGGCATCTGCAGCTCTCAGACACAAAGCTTGGGAGAGCTGCGGCAGATAAGCCGTGCCTAAAAGTAGCCAGTGAGACTCTCTCCCTCCAGGAACATACGTCTTGCACCTTGCAGAACTATACAACCCAGGCAAAGGTGTACCAACCCAAGAGCAGAAACCCTTCACATCCATGCATTTGTATCTATACACATTATTCTATGTGTACAGATACAAGCAGGGAGGTATAGATGCATCTGTGCATTTGCACACACATAGAGACACATACAAGCATATACTCTATCTCTGTGAACACATAACCCAAACCAAGGGAAAATTGTTTACTGGTTGCTTGTTAAGGGACTTGCTCAGGAAACCACAGTCAAGGAAAAGTGGTGGGTATGCCCAGATGGTGGAAACTATCCACATTGTTTACAAGATTAATATTAAATATTTAAAAAAAATGAAAAAGCAAAAAAACCCTGAACCATCAAGATCAGAGCAAGGCAGTCAGCTAGCAGTGCTGTTTAAAACAGATCAAAGCCAGACTTGGCTAATATATAGATCCATATATGAATTAGTGCATGTTAATGGCCCCCAAAAGGACATTACAAAAATGTGAATGTAGACTTATGACCCTGGAAAGACACAACAAATTAATAAATTATTCAAAGCTAAAAAAAAAAAAAATCTGTCACAAAGGCATTTTTTGAGTTTATCTTTCCCTATCAAGAACTGACTTTACAAAGATTTCTGAACACCTTCATCTACAATACTATGGCCTCGAGCAAAAAAACAAGTAAAACAAGCCATAATTCAGGAGCTTCTGAGGAGGAGAACCTTTGACCTGAGCTGCGGACTTGGCATCCCTCAGACGCACAATTATCTGGGCCAGGCTGCTCCACTAATCCATACTGTACCTTTAATGCAATGATATTTTGCAACATCTAAAGCACCAGGTTGCAACATATATATCTATCAAAAGCTGGGGCCTGTTCTTGTTTGCAATACATATCAAAAACACAGGCCTGTTCATATGTTGATTGCCACAAATCACATTCCATATTTACATATATCTTGCTATTTTACATGCATTATCTGCCCATTATGCATTAGGATCCTATTCAACTTCCAAACAATGCAATATGAAAGGGTCTTACTGACACCCTGGCAGGGCTTTTTTCTTTATGCCCCATATGTCATACCCTTAAGGTTAGTAAAATATTTATCAGACATTTACGATAAGTGCACCTATAACTGCAGGTCACTGGACAATACGGATGGGGAACTTGCTCTCTAAAAGGGCAGCAGCCTGGTGTGTGTGTGTTTGAAAAATACGCCTTGGGTTTCGCCTTAGACCTCCAAATGCTCAGAATTTTCTTATGCCAATAATATCTATTGAGCTTTAATTATTTTAAATGGACTGGCATATGCCTTTATTTGGGTTTCATTCTGTATCCTTAAAGGTGGCGGTGAGAAGGCTTAACTCTCCCCTCAGAACGAGATTAAAAATAATAATCATTAAGGGATCCACAGCTCGATTCGATTATGCAGCCCAGAGAGGTGCAATCCGTGGGAGAAATAACGCAATCCATGTTTACTGGAAGTGAATTATTATAGCATCCCAGAAAGTGGGCTAATGTGAAAATCCTGTGTGTGCCTCGGTTTTTTATGTGGCAGTGTGTCAATAAGGGAAAGCTCTATATTTCTTCTTGCAGTCTATGGAAAAGAAATTATGTAAATAAATAACCATTACTGTTCAACACACTCCAGCCTTCCCCTTCGTAGTGGCGGGTATGTATTTCATGTTACACGTTCAGAAGAGTTTAGTGTTCAGAAAATATAGATGTAATCAGCTGCCACCTAACTAGAAATCAAAGTTCTTATTGCGCTGGAAATAGATTTATTGAATTTATGTTATCTGTCTCTATCTCTTCCTGGAAACGTTTATTTATGATGAGGAAAAGGTAGATAGAGGAATTAATAACACTAAAGTTTGGCAGGAGGGTCGTGGAGGGATGGGGGTGAGGGATGGAGGGGTGGAGGAGGAGGAAAGTGGAAGGAAGGGGAAAGTAGGTGAGAAAGGAGCAGGTTTTGGGTTACGACCCAGTCTTTGGATGGTGTCCAGAATTTTACGGATTAAATACATGCTCTCTGGAGCCCGAATGTAAAAACTACAACAGGAGAAACCCATGCCAGCTTTAAACACTTAGTCCTTAGCAAAGGAATTTGGACACAATGCCTAAAAATGTCTTTTTCATCAGTCAAAGTTAGTTTAAAAGTTGGATGACTTTGAGAAAGGCTTCCTATGAATTCCCCTCTGGATAAGCAATCAAAACAAGTTTAGTGAGAAGTTGAAATGTGCAGATGGGGGTAAGCAGTAGATTACTCCTGACAGCTGTATTTCCATTTTCTGAGATGCCTCGTGTGATCCTGCTCCAAAATAATATTATTGTTCCCTTCCTGAGCCTCATTCATTCTCAGTTCCATTGTGGAAAGGGGATTCTTCCCTCACAAGTGTCATTACATTTTTTTTAATATATGTAAATGAAGGGGTCCTCTAAAACCACTTACCCTGTTTCTAGCCAACACTGCTCGTTTGGGCAGGTTAAGGGGGGAGATTGGAGAGAGCAGAGAGAGAGAAGAGAAAGAGAAGAAAAAGTAAAATATCCCCTCAAACATGTCCCCATCAGGGGCAGCCTCTTTCTAAGGGCCTTTGGCTCGTAGAAAGGCTGAGACACAGGCCAGCCATCTTCCTAGCTCTGCTTAGGAAGAATGTCTCAAGTTGGATCTGGAAAAAAAAAAAAAAGGAAAGGTTCTCCTCAACTGTCCCTGCGTATTGATGAGCACCCTGAAATGAATGGGAAGGGAAGGTCTGTGAGTCTGCAGGCAGGCTGTGGAGTTAAATCAGCCTGATAAATGCTGGCAGGTCTCTTTGTCACTCTTGAAAAACATGTTTCCATCAAGAAGACTTATTATGATAAAATACATTAAAATGTCGATCTGGCTATTCAGTAAATCTTCCATTTGTTCTAAGATTTGCAAGTTATCCTTTGCAAAGAAATATTCCCTCCAACACTGCGAGACTGCATTTGCACTGGAAGTAAAAGGGGGCAGTCACAGTACACGTCTCCGACCACCCTGCATACAAATTATATACTCCTGTCTAAATAAATTATCTGATGTTCAAATCGATATTAATACTACATTTGCTACATTACAATATTGTGCAAATTTAGGAGTCATTTTAATACAATGTAAATACTATCTTTCATGCATGAAAGGCAACAAATATTGATGGATTATAAACTGCTCAGTGTTAAACAAGACCTTTGAACGATTTACCATCTCTGTTCAGGAATGCTTTCAATTTTGCCCTGGCCTAGTTTTAAGTCACATTTATTGGAACTGTTTAGTCATTGCTAATTGAGAAGGTTGGTTTGGAAAAGAGGGGAGAAATGGGAACAAGAGAGGAGATGGGGAGAGTGGGTATATAAAAGAAAAAGAAAAAAAAAAGGAAAAAAGAAAACAAGAAGAAAAAGTGGCAATTAGCCATATCATGGTGACAATTAGAATAATAATTAAAAAATTACACTGCCCAGTCTCTTATTTCACCTTGTTTCCACTTCCTATATTTCCTCTGCATAGTTCTCCTTTGATGTTTATAAATTCTCCCTCACAGGTTACAATAATAGTATACATATTATATTTTTATAGGCTACGACCAGAGCACTTCAAAGGCGACACTAATGCAACTTTCCCGCTAGTTAATTCGAACCATCTATCACAGGGAAAAATTGTTAACATGCATGTTTCCACCGCCTACACTTCATTTGATTTGAGTTTTTTAGTGGTTGTTTTTTTTTTGGAGGGGCTGTGCGTTAAAAAGCCAATGTCAGTGGGGATGAAGGGGAGATCAACCCCTGAACCGGAGCGTACCCCTGTCAGGTGCTATGCTACCTCAGCCTGCTGCCTCTTTTCTTTAAAAATAATTCTATTTTCATTTTTTCCTAATTTTTCCACAAGTGGTTTGTTTTCTTTTCTTTTTTTTTTTTTTTTAATGTCTCACATCCCCCACCCATCCCCTCACCTGAGGTGAAGAGGACGATGGCTTTCAGGCAGCTGTACTCAGCCGAATCGACGTGCAGCGCCTTCAGCTTCTCCACCTGTTCCTGGAAGATGCGGATGTGGTCCATGAAGGCGACAACGCGGTCGGCCGACATGGGGGAGGCGTGGAGGCCGGCGGCGGCCAGGAGCGGGGCCACATGGAGGGGCATGGAGCACTGGGCAGCGTTGAGGACGAAGAGCTCGCTCCAGGTGAGCCGCAGCAAGGCCACCTGGTCGGTGATCTGCAGGTCGGGGAAGAAGGGGATGTTGCGGGCCCACTCGACGGCGCTGAAGAGCAGACGGGCGGCTAGCTCGCAGATGTTCTCGATGCCCATGATATTGTTGGGCTGCATGCACTGGCTGCCGTAGCGGGAGGTGGGGTAGGGCTCGGCCCGCAGCAGGAGGGAGATGTATCCCGAGAGATAGCAGTGCCCATTCAGGGGGTCGCCGTTGGTCAGGGCGTACTGGCCGGGGTTGGGTTGGGTGGGTGGCATCCTTCCTCGCTGAACCGCTGACAAAAAGAAGGAGAGAAGGAGAGGAAATGTGCATCCAGGAGGCTCGCAGGCATTGCCCCGGCGGCGCAGTCAGCCAGCCGGAGACAATGCCGGGCTTCTTCCCCTCCCCGCCACCGCCTCGCCCCCGGCACACGCACAGGCACGGACAGACAGAGGCATGCGGAGCCGGGCAGCTGCCGCCGACCTGCATTGCGCCCTCCGCCCGGCATCGGCATCGGCATCGGCATCGGCCTCGGCCCCGGCCCCGGCCCCGGCCCCGACCCCGACCCCTGCTCAGGCAGCCCCAGCCCAGCGGCAGTCAAGCGCCCCCCCCTTTCTTCC